AAACATGTTTTTCAAAAACTAAGATTATATGCAAACTTATAAATATTTTCCCATGGTATTAAATATCTTTAAAATACTTTAGTAGCTGTATGCTAAGGTTATGCCATAATCGATTCGATCAAAATGCCAACGTTAGACATTTAGGTGGTTTTGGGTTATTTTTGCTTATTCGTTTCCATTTGTTAGCCATCCTCTCAGCTAGAAGTTCAGTCCTTATCATCTGCTTCCAGACATGGACGCGCTGCATTTAGAAATAGTTTCTGACATTCCATGGGAATTTGATTTTTGACATGTTCCGTTTTCATTCTTTTCTCTTGCAGTTGTTATAGTTGTGAAATACCGCACTTGATTTGAGGACAGAGATCGTCATTAAACAGAGTCTGGGACAGTAATAAAAGGTTGCTGCGTAATTTAAACAAAACCCATGTATATAACTTTCAAAACTTCTTTTTCAAGAAACTAAGAGGCAAGTAGCACTTCAAATTGGAGCATTGAGAATGTCCATTATCTTCTTCCCTTCTAGCAAAATGTGCTTTTAATAATTACGTTTAGGGCAAGACAACCAGCCTCTATTTCGCCATATTCCAAGGATCTAATTTGAAACTACGTACTTGCCAGCTCATTATTTGTGTCCGTAGTTAAACACTGATAACGATATCTCATACCGTTATTTAATGACATAAGGACTTGCATTCTTGCATTGAGGCAGGAGTCAGAAGCTTATAGAGAGTACTAGATCATTATGCTAAAAGAGAGGCATAATCTTTCCACCACTATTTGTAAGATTCTTGTCGTGTTACAGTTGCTTTGCAAGCAATTTCCACATGTTTATGGGTGTAACAAAAACTAAGTGTTGTAAATGTTGCTGCCTTCAGCTATAACTAAAAACATTCCAGTAAACCTATTTTTGACCATATAAGGGAATGTGTAGTAATTTTTTGGCATTCAAATTATGGAAATGAGAAATTTAAACACTGTGAAAAGCTCATGGCACCATAAAACTGGAGATAATAAAATTATTGGAGCACGTCATCGGAGTTTTGAAAATGACCAACATCTTGCCACAAGTCAGGGTCCAGCTCTTGTCAGTTAGCCTCCTGCGGGAGGGGCCGGTCCTAGGCATTGAAACCCACGGGTAAATCATTCCCTTGTTTCCGCTGGTCGCTTCTTCTTTAACTTCAACTAACCCTTGCACCAGAAGTGCCGAAAGTGCTAAGCAAAACCATCTGCTTAGAATTGGCTCGTTTTGCCTTCTCCGACGATCCCTGGGAGATGCCTGTGCAACGATCAAGTGTCAAATTCGCCAGTAATGTCTATGACAAGTCAGGAGCCTAGGTCATCGTCATCCATCATTATCTCAGTCCGTTTTCATAACAGTAAAAGAGGTGTTAGCGTTAAAATGTGCCAGATCCAACATACAGGCCGCCCCAAAAGAGAAAAAGAAATTTGGAAAAAATAAAATAAAATGTGCCGGCCTTCTTGTGGTATTTAAGCAAGTCAGAGTGGAACTACATAGTCCTCGAATGTGTGAGGGAAGCTTTCAGAACAAAACGCAGAAACTTATGCACGTGGACACCTTGACGAATAAAGGTAATTCTAAATTCGAAATAGGGTGAATAGAAAATACCAGTTTTTAAAGGGGGTGAGGAGGTGTGGTCCTGTATATATTTTATTTCTTTGGTCATTTTAATTCCAAATGTATGAAACAATCTTTTTTCTTAATCCTGTGGGATTAGCACTAAGAGGCAAAACTGTTCTGTTTAGAATGGAAAGAAATTTGAAGGGAGGAAGCAGATTAAGGGATACTCAAGGCACTTGGCAAATTATGAAAATCTAATTGCTAACTTGTATAGTTCACTAAGAACATTTAAAGAGTGTTGTCTGTTCTCCCCACTCTGTAAAGGTCCATGTAAATAACCTCATAAATACTAAATCTTTTGACAAAATAGGATGCCTAGGAAAACGAGTGGTTTTAGAATTTCAGTCGCTAATACAGTTCAGGACTCGAAGTAGTTTAACTGATTGTACAGAATCAGTCCTAACGTATTTATGTATGTCCTTTTTAGGGGGATTGGTTAATTTTCTATTAGTTGATATAGAAATCTGGATTCTCCATGATACCTGTCAGTGAAGATGATTTCTCAGAGAGAATCCATATTTCCAGTGTTTCTTTTAATAAAGAATGCTACTTTTAAAGAAATACGAAGTTATTTTTTAAAATTTCAACCACGAATAAAGGAAGCATTTATGTGACAGTATCGCGTACATGCATTTCTCTTCGTATTTCAGATGCTGCCGCGGGAGCGCTGGCGTCCGTTAGAGCCTCGCTCTCGCTTAGCTTGTCGTTCCACCGTTCTCGGTCTTCTTAGTCCTGAGACCCTTAAAACTGCATGTTTATGGGCTTTATTGTGGCAGCTTTAGAGACACAAACCTTACGATCAAAAACAAAAGAAACAGGTCGCGCATTAGATGCCAGGCCGACCTTCCTCCCTCCCTTTCCTTTTCTCATTCAGCTCAGATCTCGCACTTGAAAAACGAAGTTTTACCACCATCAAAAAACTATCATTATTTAACAATGAAGATTAACAGAAAAATTCAAGTAGCTTTATAAATACTGGTTGATACCTGGTGAAATCAGGTCACTGTTTTAACACCTGCAACATGATTTATGATTTGTTCACTTCCGGGAGCCTATTGCTCTGCAGGAATTCGGTGGTTCTAAGGCTCATTAATTAGCTCTTCCTTCCATTTGTGACCCATTAATAGCTATGGCCTTTGGCACCTCTGCGGTGACAGAGCTCACTGCACATTGCCCTCCGATGGTATAAACTCGGGCGTTTGCTGATGAAAGTTTCAGTTTCAAAAATGGGCCATCTTGCGAAACAGTGCAACGGCTGAAAATGGTCACCTCCGGTGACGTGGGAGGGGTGCAGGCGGGAGGGGGTGCGTAAATTCACGCTCAGGTGATCGATGCCTCCTTGCAAGGAAGTGCCGTGAGCCCGGATTATCAAGTCTCTGCCCAGCCCATCTTCTCAGTTATCCTTTCCCATCCGCAGCACTGGCGACAAAATTTCCAGAACCCAATGCAAAATGAAAACGCGGGGCGACTTGTTTAAAAAGCAAGGAGGAAGTGATGTTAAAGTACTAACTTATACAGTGTTTCCTTTAAAATACTCTTATTAGTTATAAAGTAGAATAGGGCCAACATCAATAACCGTTAGGGCAATGAAAACCGGTGAGACACCGCCTTACACCCGTTAGCAGGGCTACTGTCCAAAAAAGAGAGAATGTGTGTTTTCACGGCGGGAACGTAAAACTGCTGCAGCTGTGGAAAATAGGGTGGCCGTTCCTGAAAAAAATTGAAAATGGAACTACCACGTGATCCAGCAACTCTACTTCTGAGTATAGACCCAAAAGAATCGAAAGCAGGACCTCGAACTGGTATTTGTACACCCACGTTCACAGCAGCGGCATTCACAGTAGCCAACAGGTAGAAGCGACCCAGGCGTCCATCGAAAGATGAGCAAATAAAATGTGGTGTGTACACACAACAGAATATTAGGCGCTTTGAAAAGGAAGGAGATTCTGACGCATGCTATCCAACATGGCTGAACCTTGGGGACATTATGTTAAGCGAACCAAGCCAGTCACAAAAGATGTTCTGGTTCTGTTTATGTGAAGTACCCAGAGTAGTAAATGGTTGTCAGGCCCCGGAAGGTTGGGAGGTTGGGGAGTTGACTTTTTAATGGGTCCAGAATTTCAGTTTTGTAAGACAAAAAGTTCTGAACTAGATGAGGTACCGGTTGCACAACAGCGTGACTCTCCTTAATGCCCCTGAGCCGTACACTTAAAATGTGTATTTTCCCACAATAAAAACCATTTTTAAATGCATAGTAGGAGGAAGTAATCATTCTAAGAAAAATTTTAATTTTTAATTGGCTGAATGAATCTTGCCATTCTTCGTATATTACGCAGTGCCGGTTTCGAATGCAGACACAGGGGCTTCTGTCTCGTGAGCAGACCCGCGAAAATCGCGGTTGTGTTGTGTGACTCGCGCATGCGGACGTGCTTCCTTTGAGCAGAACCGAGAAGATGCTGCGCGGGACCTTTGATGTCACTTCCCGGCGCGCGCGTCCTCCCAGCGCACCTGCCTGACGGCGGATGCCACGGCCTGAGCCCCCGCGAGACAGCGACCTCGGGCTGCCCCGTCCCCGCTCTGAGTCCGCACCGTCAGCCTGTCGCGGGGAGTCCCCCGGGAAAGGGCACGACCGCGTCCCGAGGCCATTCTTGTTCTCTGAGTGCTGTCGCCTTTCTGCGCGAAGGGCGAGGTCTGGTTCTAATGGACAGTGTGGCCTCCTGGCGCCGTCGGCACCCCTGCTGTTGTAGACGCCTCGACATGGACACGAGCGCAGAACCCGGGGGGCCGGCGGTACGCGGGAGCTCGGCGACACCCGGCAGGCACAGGCCAAGCGGGCGCCGGCCGCCGGGGGGCGGGGGCGAGCGCCGTCTGCGACCGCCTGGAGGGGACGCGTCTCCGCGGGCATGTGGCGCGCACGCTCCGCTGTCCCGGGCACTGCGCTCACAGACACGAGTGCGCGGAAAAGCTCACGACCATTTCCAGACGGCCACAGAGCTCGTCACCAAGGGCAGTGCCCTCCGGACAGCGCCCGCTAGTTCCGTCTCGAGTCACCTGTTTTCCTCCTGCCTGTGCCCCGTTGCTGGTCTTATCCCTGCTCATTATGTCCCACACCCTTGTTAAAAGTACGAGATCTTTCTCGGGCCCGTCAGTCCCTGGCTGCAGCTTCTCATTGCTCACCCACGAATCTCAAGCCTTCTGTTTCTCTTCTAAATTGATGAATCGTTTCTGGCCGGATTCAAACCTGGCAGAAAGCAGGTGCTTCCGGCTAGTTGCACTGCTTAATCAGCGATCCTGTTGAACCCTCGTGAAAACACACCTCCCAAGAGGCAACTTCTGCTTGTCATCCGGTCACAGTCACGTGCTCAGTAACGGGTGGGTCACAGCGCCCTCCGGTGCACCTCCCCTATGCCAGGCGCTCTCCCCTTCCCCCTCCCTGGTCTCCCCAAGGACGGGCAGTGGTCGTGATGATCGTGAAAGTCAAGGTGTGGGGAAAACACCACCGTATTCCCAGCCTCCCCTCTGAACTCTCCCCTCTGTTGCTAACCATCTGCCCCCTATTAAGAGGCAACTGTGTCCACTTAACAGTCCTCACAGCTGTGACCTGCAAGGCAATGAAATTTTTTTTCCTAGAACCTAGGTCATTGGCTAAAAGCATTAAAAGCAGGAGCCTGAGAGCGAGGTAACATTCGAAATTTCGTTACAAGTTTGGGAGGCCGGGGCCCAGGGCAGGGAGCCTCAGGGGCGCAGGGCGGCCGCTGTGTACCAGGCGGTTTGGCTGTACCCACATCTGCCCGCCCACCCATACGCAAGGTCCTAGAGCTGCCCCTGAGAGTCCCCCTTGCTCTCCGTGACCGGTGCAAAACCAACGATAAATCTGAACAGTTGTACCTGAGCGCAGCGGCCGCCTGCCCCAGGTGGGACCACGCCAAGCCCTTGAACTCTGGCTCCTTTTGGCAGGACAAGTGAGCAGCAGGATGTCACCGCCGGCCGGGCAGAAGGCACTGGGGAGGAGGGATGGAGGGATGGAGGGATGGAGGGATGGAGAGAAAGGGAGAGGAAAGACGAGGGAGGCCCGCGGAGACCGTCTGCCACCTCCCAGGAGTGGCCCGGCCGGTGGCGAGGATTCTAACCGCGCAGGTCCGGGAAAGGCACCTGGCGGTGGCAGGGCACCTCCGGCCTGGGAGAGGAAGACCTCAGCTCATTTACTCACTTAACTAGCTCAACTCGCTTGCGTTTTCCGGTTTCACATCCTCTCTTTCCGATGTCCTGTCTCTCCGCGGGAGAGCCTGGCTGGTATTCGCCGCACTAAGGTCAAAGTGCATGTGATTGGCAGGTATTGAGGACCTTACCTCCAGTCCATAGTTTTTGAATCTATATCAAAATGGGCATGGACTTCAATGAATCTAAATGCCATATGAGGACGTGTAAAGCTTTCCTCAATCAGCGAATAATACAACATCTCCTTTTTCTGTCCTGAAAATAAATCCCACTTGCCCGATGGGTGTGTGTTTTCCCACAAAGCTAAGTCAGTACTCACTGGGAATGGAAATGCCCCGCTCTGAAGGAATTAGGCCGGAGGGAGAACTGTAAATGAAGAAAACCGATCTTCTGATGAAAAACTCATCAAGTCCTTTTACGCCCACCTGCGAGCTCCACTGTCCGCCACTCTCCCTGTCCTGGGTCTCCGACAGTCTGGCCCGGGCTGATTCTGCACACTCCCAAGCCAGGAGAGGATGCATAAGCTCTGTCTTCACCCCCTCCTCCCTCCCCTCCTCCCCACTGCTCGCTCTCTATCGTCTTTGGTGACACCATTATCAGCACTAGTATTTTTAAGCACTTAAAGCAGGCACAGTCCACACGGTGCGGATGCATCGTCTCAACACCAGTTACTTGGTCACGGTCTGTTGTTAGGATTTCAGTGAAACATAAGCTTACTCTATTTTTACTATAATTTGAAGGTGAGTCTTAACATTGAAAATAAACCAGCAGTTCACGGCTAAGGGCGATTGTGCACCCTCTCCCCTCCCCGCCACCCCCCCCGAGATGTTTGTCAGTATCTGGAGACATTTTTGGTTGTCATAGCTTGGGGTGGGGGGGTGTTGTCGGAATCTAGCTGAGGGAGGTCAAGGATGCTGCTGAATGTTCTAGAATACACAAAAGAGCCCCCCACTTCAAAGAATTCCCTGGCTCAGAATGTCAAGAGTGCCGAGGTCGATAAGCCCTGAGGTGAACTAATCTCATAAAATTTGGAAACGATGCACCATTAAGAAAAACTTAGGTCACCACTGACTCTTTTTCATCGTATTATACCTTTTTTAAAACGTGAATTTTCACACCTTGCTGCAATCATCAGAACTGTTTCGAAGTATTTAAAACAAGTCAAAGTACTTTATATCCTTATCAAGTAAAGAGCAAATGTAGATTTTTTAGCATTTTAAAACACATAATTTTCTTAATGAAAAAAATGTTACTCGCTCAGTGAACAATGGCTTCTTTTATAAGAAAACTGGAAAAATATTATTGTTTTACAACCGTTCCCTTTTAACCTCCTTACTGGCAAGCTCTCGGCTGACCCGTGGATCATCCTTTAAGGGGAAACTCTTATTTCTCATCT